GGCCCTGTCGCTCCTGCTGCGCTTTGGGAGCGGTGCTGCTGGAGGTGAATCCACCTCCATGGGCTCTTCCTGCTCTTAAGGAGGATCCACCTCCATGGGCTTCTCGGTGCTTTTTTGTGGAGAGTCGGCCTCCATGGGCTCCTCGGTGCTGCCGTGCGTGGAGCCCCCGCCACCCCTTGCCTGCCACCGGTGCTGCTGTGGCTGTCCACCCGCTTCTGTTTTTTGGGGTTTGGAGGCATCCTCAGAGGTCCCAATAACCTCCTGCACTTCAACTCACCGAGCGTGGGCACTTGCCTCGCTTTGCTGGGCTTTCCTGTCCCAAGCAGACTTCTCTCAGGATCTGTGGCTGCTCAGGGGTCTGTGAGGCAGCTGCAGGGATGGCTGCTGCCCTAAGGAAGTCCGTTGGTGCCACCAACGGACAGTGCTGTGGCGGGAATGGTGGCCCCTGGGGCCCTGTAGGCCCCATTGCGAGCAGTCATTTTGCACAAATTGCTTTCACGAGAGCGCTGAAGAATTTCTCTCACACTCAGAGTGTTTTCCCACATTTCCTTCTGTTCCCCCTCCAATTTCCTGGGCCATTGAGAGCAAATGTTTTCCTCAGAGAAGGCTGCAGGGCATTCTCAGTGAGGTTAGGAGTGTTGTATCTGTAAAGTCCTTCTCCCCAGGTGCAGGGTAGCAGCCAGCCCTCTTCTGGAAGGTCTTAAAGTAGAGCTTCCTTGTGGGTCAGAGCTGTTAGAGCTGAGACAGTGTGAAGACAATGACAGCATCTTGTGAATGCCCTTTTTTGGTATGGTTTTTGTGTCAGTCACGTTGAGGCACCCAAGCTTGCTACTCAGTTAAATGGAAGTATGCTGACAAGAAATGAACAAACTTGCATTTGTCGTGAACTCTGTCTTAAAGTTCTTCTGTGTTCTCCTAGCTGATCTGGAAAGCTGCTTTGCAACTTGGCTCCTCTGCAACTAGTCGCTTGTGGTATGCAATCTGTAGCGCGTATGCAGATGGTTCATATCCAGTTGTTCTTGTGCCTACACAGCCTTTAGATGGGGCAGTTGATTTTTTCCTCCTGACTTTTCACTTTGCACCATTCTCTGTGTCAGACTGTGTGTAATGCAGTGGTTTAAGGAATCCTGCATCCACCATGAGCCAAGCAGATGCCATGGGGCAAGCAAAAACAGAAGTCCCAGAGTGCCACTTTCAAGACTCTTTTCCATTCCCCTTGCTGGTTAATTTAACATTCACTGATGTATGTTAAAAGCTTTAGATACAACATTCACTTTTGGTCATGGTGGGATAAGAGGAGTGACGAGGAGGATTTGAAGCTTGCTCACATGACTTGCAGCTAGGTTGTAGAAAAATACATATGTCATATTAATTGTTTTTCCTTGTGTGCTTGACAAGTAGAAGAACTGCGGGACAGAGAGAACTGTAACACAGAATTATAACTCTGGGCAAACACAGCTTGAAGGAATAACGCTTAAGAGTTAACAGGATAGCAGTTATTTAGCTGAAGCAGTGTATCTTAGGTCACTGTGTAAAGGGAGGTAGGCTACAGACAGTTCCTGATAAGGCCAAGAATGTCCTGCCTGAAGCGTCTTAACATTCCAGCAAATTGGTAGAAAGTGGCTTTGTGCTTTGGAGAAACACCACGGGTCCAGGGAGCATGCGCACGGCACATGGTGAAGAGCTTCGCAGGGAAAAGGACTCGCCCAGACCCCGGCTCGCGACCACGAGCAGGCACTGGGCAGGCGCGACCGGACTTGTCGGAAAAAGGCCGCCTTTTCGGGGAAAGGCTATGAATATGTATAGGCGTTTTTGCATAGTGATGAATATGCAACACTGTACTCTAGAAAAGCTAAGACAAGCTGCTGCAGACGGCACACGAATTCGGAGGAAGAGGTTCCCCCGTGTGCCCGCGCACTGAATAAACATACCTGCTTTACAACTTTACGGATTGTGGAGTCTTCTTCCCGCGGGTCAGTGTTTCGATCACATAGGCCTGTGATAGACTTAATGGTGCTCTGTTGGACACGCTTGAAATTCCTGCCCTGCTACAGAGAAGACCAAAGCACAGTGGTAAACAACGCCTGCGTGAATCCCTGAAAACAGCAAGGTTGGCAATCCTCCAGCATGGACCAGGCTTAGTGGTGCCTGTGTCCCGACTTGTGTGCTGCACACAAGGTGTGGATCTGCATTTATCTGTTTATTAATGAGTGAAAAAGATTTCTTAAGCCCCATATCTAGTGCTGGTCAGATACAACGAGAATACGCTCAGTTGCAAAATGAAGCACTCCTGCGTGGAGCCCAGTGGGGCAGCAGAGTTTATTCCTGCTCGATTCTTCTGAAGTCTGCCCCGTAACAGAACGCAATGAGTCTCAGAGCTGAAACACCAGTTTTGTTTAATGCTGTAGCATTAGGCGAGCAAAGCGTGTTGGAGTAGCCAAGCCTGTCGCGTGTATGTCAAAAGGCTTCCCCAGATCCTTCTTGCAACAGCCCTCTTCTTAATTAATGAGCAAACCTGGGGGAGAAAAATAAAAATCAGCACATAAATTAGCTATTACATTAGAGCGCATAAAGTGTCTCGCCTTCCAAGCACACGAATGGGGGAGCGGGAGAGGCTCTGCCATCTGCTCGTCAGGTCTGCTGAGCTGCTCTCGGCGGGCGTTCTTATAGGTCTGCGGGAGGCGGCAGCGATTGGTAAGGTTTGAGTCCAACATGGCGGCTAACGCGACCACTAACCCCTCTCAGCTCTTGCCGCTCGGTAACTAGTGTCGTCGCTGCGCT